AATCCAGATTTTTTTCTTTCCTATTTTTCTCAAGTTCTCCCTGACGACATTAGCACGCACTCTATCTACGCACCTGGTTCTTTTTCAGATTTTTTTCATCGCATACTATGGTCGCAAAAAAAAAAAAAAAAAAAAAAAAAAAAACACCAAAGTCGGCGCACTCAAATTATTTGTTTCATCGCATACTATGGCCGCCCAAAAAAAAAAAAAAAAAAAAAAAGTTAAAGAAACACCAAAGTCGGCGCACTCAAATTTCGCGCACTAACAAATCGCCCCCCTCCGCCTGGGGGAATGGGCCCGCCGTCAGCACATAAGCTGCTGCAGCTTATGGATTTCATCGGTAGCAGCGGTGGTTCAAGGCCTCTAAGCACAGAATATCAGCAGTGGGTGATCGAGCAACAAGCCCACAGACGGCACACTGAGAGATACTTTTCAAAAACAACAGCAACAAGCCCACAGACTGACATTTTCTGTAATTGTCAAATACTGAAAAAAACGCCAGTGCATTCACGAAGCAATTGTGGAAGAATAGCAGACAAGAAGAATTTGAACAACAAGGAGATAGCCTGCTGAGACTTTTCCCTTTTACCTTTTTGTTTTAGGTGGAACAAGGTTGCCTTTCCTGTTTTCCTTCTACTTCTCTTTTTTTTTTTTTTTTTTTTTTTTTAATTCAATAAGTCATCTTCTCGTCATCGGGGGACACCTGTATATATATTGTCACAAGAAAATATCAGAGCACAAAAACGAGAAAAAGGAAAAAGAAAAAAAAACAAGGAAAAAATGAATTCGTTTTTTTCTTCCTTGCAATTCCCCCTGTTCAGAACCTCTTGTGTACAAGGTCGCCCACGTGGATGTAGGTTGAGCGGCGGCTGCCCCCACCCCCACGTGTCATATCGACCCACTTGCACACATATAAATATATATTATATATTGGATATATTTATTTTCTCTCAGTTCTTAACTGGTTTCTGCCATGACATGGAGCATATCCTTTTCATCTTTAACTACCTACCTACCACTACTCCCAAGGCTATACAGCGGACCCCTGCAAGGATAGCTATGTACCTCGCTTCAGTGAAGGGAGGTTACCTCTCTCGGTGGAGGGTGGTAGTTGCATGTTTGCCCCTTTCCCTAGTGATTTAGGGTGCAGGGTTGGGGCCGCAAGTGGGGGGCCCAGCTAACACAAGGACCGAGAATTTGCCAGTAGCGGCGCCTCCCTTTTTCATCTTCCCCCACCCCCATCGAGTAACAGCATTGTCTACAGCCAACACTCTCCCACACACCACACGCAACCCACTCACACTCGCACTCACACCCGTGTTGGCTAAGGAGCCTACTAATACCGACCACGAGGATCCAGCCGACTATCTCAGTTGGCTGGCACCAGGTTTTATTTCCTCTTTCTCTTCTACTTTTTTGTTACAAATGCTATGTCCTCTCCGCGTTTTGATCGAGCGGAAAGCGCCCACACCCCCGTCTGCTTTGAGCCGCCAACAATCAGAAATTGGCTTTCCGATGCGTGTGCCCCAGTCAGAGGGGCGCTGGACCCAGCCCCAGCAGGGCCAAGGGATGCGGAGGCCAGCGGCAATTCAAAAAGAAAAAAAAAAGGCAATTCGGAGAACGTGGCCAAAGTTCTGAAAATTTTGAGGGCCTGTAGCTTAGATCCTGATCTTAGCAAACACACTGTTAAAAAAAGAAAAAGATAAAAAAAAAGATCCTGATCTTTCCAGAAAATATCTCCATGAACAAAAAAACTTTCATCCGCGAAACAAATCCTTGCAGCGATTCGGCGCATTTTTCATTTCCCCACTGCCACGTGTAGGCAAAAACAATTCACGCATGGAAAAAAGCGCTCCATCTTAAACGGTGTTTTGCGCTCAGAAAAAGGCACCAAAAAATCTGAAAGAGATAGTGCCCGTGGATTAGGTGCTGATGTTCCCGAAAACAATATAAAAAAAATGAAAAAACGCGTCTAGGACTGCAAAATAAATTTGCGCAGCAGCCTGGCCCGTATCTTTGGTTTTCCTCATTTTTGCCAAAACTGTGCTACCAGCAGGCCCGATAAAACAGTGCTACTGGGGGAGTGGTGCTTTAAACCACCACAACGTTCCCAGAGGCCGAAAATGTAACATTCCCATTTCTTCACAGGCTCGAGGCTACCGGACCCCGATGGCTGGCAGCACCCCGCCAAAATGAAAAAAAAAAGGACACCGTGCTAGCGCGATGGGGGAATCCCCCTCCGCAAAATGAGGATGAGAGGTAGTGGTAGTTTAACAGCACGTTTGCAGCAGATGGGCGTGTAGTCTCTCTCTCTCTCTCTCTCTCTCTCTCTCTCTCTCTCTCTCTCTCTCTCTCTCTCTGTGTGTGTGTGTGTGTGTGTGTGTGAGCGTGTAGGCACTTGCTGCTCTCTCTCTCTCTCTCTCTCTCTCTCTCTCTCTCTCTCTCTCCCTCTGTGTGTCTGTGTCTGATCATACATTCATTTCATATACGGCCAAAATAAAATGGAACGAAGTGCCTAAATGAGTTGCAAGCCGTTGCTAATACCCAAGACATCAAAGATGCATTTTCAAAAGAATCCCGAAACCGCCAACGGCCCCAACCTAGATAACAATAAAGCCCACCAACCTCCCATCATTAGTGCTGCAGAGGCAAAAAAAAAAAAAAAAAAAAAAAAAAAAAAATAAAAAAAAAAAAAAAAAAAAAAAAAAAAAAAATAAAAAAAAAAAAAAAAAAAAAAAAAAAAAAAAAACCAGTACGATAAATTCCAAATGCATGTCACTTTTTAAGAGGCACTTTCAAATTTCCAAAAGTCACTTCCACGAGGTCACAATCAAATCGCACAAAGCACGAAAGCATAAGATCACTGGCTTTGTTTTTCGTTCTTCTTCTTTTTTTTCCTCATAGATCACCTGCCTTATCCTTTCTTCACAATGACGTTTTAGGCCAACGTGGAACGGACCGAGGGCAGATTCGCAAGATACGACTTGAAAGAGTGGAAGACACGAAAGACGGAAGGCGTGAACAAAGGAATACGACGAACTACAGAGAGGAAGCAGACGAGAGTCCAGGGTTATGGCCTCTCATTCCACGACTGGGCAAATGTGAAGAATGGCAGGCATCTTGCAACCTTCAGGCCTACGGTAGACCCTTCGTTGTCCCGTTTTTCGGTAGACCTGTGTGTAGATGTGGGACTACAGATAACCTATTTTCCATGTGACTACCGCCTTCCCCCGAACACAACGCACCATCATTCTGACTGTACCTGGCCGGAAAAATACCTTGTATACTTTCCTTTTCAGGGTATGTTATGTTTGGGGGAAGACAGTAGTGATGGAGCAAGGCCCTTTACCAGATTTTGGCAACAGAGGCAGCGGATACCCTGAGGGTGGTATGACGTAATATGTCCTCCGAGGGTGCGGGATGCACCACCGAGTACGCGCTCTCGCAGGATAATTTTTGTCTACTCAATTATTTATTTATTGTGGATAGCATCCAAGGAGAATCGAAAAGTTGCAACGCAGCTTTTTGTTCCCCTGCTTTTCACTGGTTTCTCTTTCGGCGGAGAATGAACCGCCAGTCTTGTGGAGGGCTCCCGTTCCTTTTTTCCTCGCCAGGTGTTACTATCTCAACCACAGTTCACTTCCAGACAAGGCAAGTCTTGGAAGCCGGACTGAAAGAGTTCCTTGCTTAGCATGGAGGGCGAAAGCACACCAAACCTTCGCCAGCATCACTATCACACGTCCTGACGAAACCCCGACGTAGACGTCGGTCTGACACAGCCATGCTTCTTTTGTGGATTTGTGTATAGCGAATATTTTGTGGATTTGTGTATAGCGAATATGACAACACACACACACACACACACACACACACACACACACACACACGTACACACGCACACACACATGCACACATGCGAGCACACACACACACACGGGCGCGCGCACACACGCACATACACACACACAAGCGCGCACACACACACACACACACACACACACACACTCCTCTCGTGCAGATTGATGCGGCTAGGGTCAGGACCACACTGGCAGTCGTGCCAGTGGAAATCTCTGGCTAGAGTGGGTTTATCAAACTTCGATGGCTGTGATAGACTAGGTTCGCGGACTTACAGCTGCTCTTGTCAGCGGTTTGGATCGAGGGTCTGCCAAGGATTACAGCGTTGGTGCATTTGACGAGGACCACGTTTCACAGGAGTGTGTGATAGCTCTCGACAACATGGCGAGTCCTTATCTACTCAGTCGTGTGCATCATGGGCAGACTGTCGAGGTTCAACCTCCGGATGAATCAGTGAAAGTCCAATGACACAGTCATGCTTCTTTTGTGGAGTGGTGTATAGCAAACATGGCAGCACACATGTGAAAGCAAAAGCATAGTTCACACACAAAAACGTGTGCCAGAGCATCCGAAGGATGGTGTGGGGATGGAAGTGGAGGTGGGTTTAGGTAAAAGAGGTTGGAGATGATGTTCAGGTTAGTGCGGGGTTACGGGTCTGTGGATGCGTGTGCATGGCGCGGAAGGGGCCCGAGAATTTTAATCTGTGTGTAGCAATGCTAGAAGAGGTGGGTTTAGGCATGGGGTTGGGAATAGAGGGAGATCTTGGGGCTACCGGTAGGGGCCCTCTGTGTGTGTGTGGTGGGGGGTAGTGATCTGCGGGTGGAGGTAGAGAAAATTCTGTGTCTCCCCGGATACGAGTGAAGGTGGGTTTAGACAAGGGGTTGGGGATAAGGGGACACTTTTGGTGTTACGGGCCTCTGTGTGTGCGCAATGTATAGGGGGTAGAGAAGTTGATCCTCTGTGTTGGTCCATTTTCGTGTACTGAGGTGCGGAGACACGTGCCTTCATGTGCTGGAAATGGAAGCCAGGGTTGTCAGAGAGAAGAGGAGAAACAAGCAAGAGGAGAGGTAGAGGACACGAAAAACAGAGGGTGAAAAGGGACGGAAGCACCTACAGAGGAAGGAAAGGGAGGCGGTTAGACTTACACAATCAATAATCCCTTCTTTTCGATAATGCAATTCCTGGTCATCGAACCTCCCCTTCTCGGTATCCAGCTCTCCGTTGTTAATCCCCATCACTGTCATTATCTATCACGATGACATTCCGCACATCTGCCGGTGCTTAATTACACATACACACGTCGCCGAAAAGTCACCAGCATGTATATATCACAACAAACTGAATACATGCATCGCCGTCATTGACGCTGCAACTGCAATTCCTGCTTGCAATTGACAATCTTCATTCTGAAAGCTTCTGAACGCCACCACCTACTCCCCCTTTAATTTTAATATAAGGACTAGACACACCCACACCCCCCTGCTTCGTCCATCAGGCCCAGGTCAGCATCACCATCTCGTTTCTCAATTCGATGCACTGGGCTTTCTCGCTCGTCTCAACAGTCCACCACATCTGCGTAGCTGCTCTCGCCCCGATGCACGTACACCTGCACAAGCAGGGACAGCAGTCTGTCAGTCGCTCTGTCAGTCTGTCAGTCTGTCAGTCTGTCAGTCAGCCTATCAGTCTGTCACTCACTCACTGTGTCAGTCTGTCACTCGCTCACTCACTCTGTCAGTCTGCCAATCAGTCAGCTGAAGTGCAGACTGTCAGTATGTCACTCTGTCAGTATGTCACTCTGTCAGTCTGTCACTCTGTCAGTCTGTCACTCACTCACTCATTATGTCAGTCTGTCAGTCTGTCAGTTGAGGCCCAGACTGTCAGTCGGTCAGTCAGCCTGTCAGTCGCTCACGCACTCTGACAGTCTGTCAGTCAGACGTTGATGCAAAAACTGTGTAACAACTTTACCTGTAGCTGAAGTCTGTCGGTAATGCAAAAAAAAAAAAATGATAAAGTCTTCTTTCCAACCACATTGGGGGAAAAAAAAAAAAAAGAGGAATTGCACATGCAGCGAGGAGAGTTTGACAGAAAGGCATTCTTCAAACGAGCACGGGAAGTTCAGCTTCAACCACATAACGAAACGAGTCGCCGACAGGATTCTTTGGAAGTTTGTTTACGTGCTTCCGTCTTCGCCCGACACAAGATAATCCTCGCCATGAATGTATCGCATCGGAAAGATAGCTCGTATACAATAGGTTCTTTGGGAATGGTAGTGCCTGCACTTATTTGTGGGTTAATGTTCTTTCATGCATTTGTGCATCATGGCAAATGCACACAAGCTATCTTTCTGGTGCGATACGCGCTTTCCTTTCCGCTTATGGGTTTGCACCCGTTCACACGCTTTCTTTTCCGTTTCTTTCAGTGCATATTTCTGTGCGTTTGTGTCCGCACAGTCTGCGCTTCAGCTTTGACCATTACGCTCTACCGCTGAATACATCAAAAGACTTCAAACCCAAGGTTTGTTGGTCGGTCGTGTTATCTCATTGGAGTATAGCCAATCTGCTCTCTCTCTCTCTCTCTCTCTCTCTCTCTCTCTCTCTCTCTCTCTCTCTCTCTCTCTGTGGTATACAGATCTGTACTCTCTGCGTGTGTGTGTATGTGTGTTGGAAAGACCTATCCTTCTAGAAAAGTGACCTTTGTCAAGGACAAATTTGTCAACCTCTACGTGATTGACCAAGGAGTATGGCCACACCTGTCTGCAAAAGCACACATGGCCCTCTATAGGTGTCTGTTGTGAGTGAGCCTTCCCATTCATCCACTCATGCGCATAGAGTGCCACGTGCGTATGCCTGCCACGTGTGTGCAGCACATGGCACACTGGCCAACGACAAGGCCTGCTGTGCGGGTCTACGGGGACATCCGCCGAAATCACAACCATACAGGTAATTTGCGTTGAGGCCATGCTGTATTGGGTGCAATCTTCAGTCTAGATACAGTAATAATGACCGGGCGTTGTATTCGGGTGACAATGGTAGTGACCATGGCCACTCCGAGCATGGCCCCTCCACTTTCACAGATGACACACACACTTGGAGAAATGGTTCAAAATTTCTAATTTTTTTATCATTAATAAAAAAACGAGAGAGAGAGAGAGAAGACAGGACCTGAAGGGTTTGCCTCACCTGCTCCAACTTTTGTAAAAAAAAAAATCAGAGACTCCACACGGCTTTGCGCACAAACTACCCATCTTCATTTGCGCACGAACTACCCATCTTCACACGAATAGAACACCCGGCTACGCCCGGTCATTATGGCCATATTTGGTGAAATTTTCAGTCCAAGACCAGGACCTGTTCAAGGTAAGATGGTACAGAATTTGTTTGTTGGGATGATGATGTCAAAAGGGAAGCCAAGTAATGCTCTCGGGATTTCCAGGTTCATTGTGAGTGAGGTCGCCGGCCTCGTGTTGTTTTCTTGTGATATATATATCGTCACATGATATCAGAGCGCCAAAGCGAAAAACAGAAAAAAAAAACAAGGAAAACAATATATATATATATCGTCACAAACAGAACTGCCCGGTAAAACCGTAGGCAGAGAGAGAGAAGAGACAACAAACGAGGGGCTGTGACAAACTGTTTCGTCGGAGTTTCACCGACTCATCAGGAGGCTGAACCCTCAACAGTATGCAGAATCCCCTCACTGATTACACTGTAAATGATAATCTACCTTAACCAAAATCAAAGTAGACTATCACTCATATATATATATCGTATATATATTTCCCTTCCTTGTTTTATATTCAGCCTCCTGATGAGTCGGTGAAACTCCGACGAAACAGTTTGCCACAGCCCCTCGTTTGTTGTCCTCTTCTCCCTCCCTCTCTGCCTACGCTTTACCGGGCACCTTGACTATATATCGTCACAAACAGAACTGCCCGGTAAACCGTAGGCAGAGAGAGAGAAGAGGACAACAAACGAGGGGCTGTGACAAACTGTTTCGTCGGAGTTTCACCGACTCATCAGGAGGCTGAACCCTCAACA